GGGCAGGGCCGGGGCAGGGCCGGGGCAGAACCGGGGCAGGGCCGGGGCAGAGCCGGGGCAGGGCCGGGGCAGAACCGGGACAGGGCCGGGGCAGAACCGGGGCAGGGCAGCTCCCACAGCCCGAGGTTTGCCGAGTGTTTGTTTATTTACATCATTTACATCCGATCCCGAGCGGGTAAAGTGCAGTGCAGGGCCCGGAGTGCCAGCTCAGCTCTTGCCCCTGGCGGGCAGCGGCAGCAGCTGCGGGTCAAAGTCGTGGTGCAGGAACCGATGGAGCTCCTCGGCCTGGAACCGGCTCAGCCGCGCTCCCGCCGCCAGCGCCGGCACCGAGCTGCAAGAGACGGAACGGGAGGAGCCCGGGATGGGACAGGGAACGGGAGGAACAGCCCGGGATGGGACAGGAATGCTGCGGTCAGCTCTGTACAGGTGCCCGAGGGCTGGCAGCACACCTGAGCAGTGAAAACAGGGAATGGCAGAGGGAAAGAGAGGGTGGGGCAGCAGGAGAGGGGATGGAAGCAGAGCCCGTGCCAGTGCCCCGGGCTGCTCAGCCGGGAGAGACTGGAATGTGTAAAGAGCTGAGATGGGACAGGAAAGCTCCTGGGAGAGGGTGGGAAAGGCTCTTCCCGGGCAGCGATCCCGGCAGGAAAGGTGCAGGAAGGAATTCCCTGAGCAGGGATCCCGGCAGGGAAGGTGCAGGAAGGAATTCCCAGAGCAGGGATCCCGGCAAGGAAAAGTGCAGGAAGGAATTCCCTGAGCAGGGATCCCGGCAGGAAAAGTGCAGGAAGGAATTCCCTGAGCAGGGATCCCGGCAGGAAAAGTGCAGGAAGGAATTCCCTGAGCAGGGATCCCGGCAGGAAAGGTGCAGGAGGGAATTCCCTGAGCAGGGATCCCGGCAGGAAAGGTGCAGGAGGCTCTCCCTGTCTCCAGGGGAGGAGGAGGAGCGGCTGGCCGGGCTCCGGGGGCCCTGCCGGGCCCTGTGCTGGCGTTACCTGTTGGCCACGGCGGCGATGGAGCCGAAGGAGTGGCAGAGGTTGAGGGCAGCTCCGTAGCTGAGGTTGGGAATGCTCAGGTAGAAGTTGAGGATGTCCCGCCGGTGCCCCTCCGGCTCGGTTGGCACCTGGATGGCAGCGTCCTTCCTGTGCTCCAGCAGAGCCAGGTCCTTCAGCAGAGCTGCAGTTTCCTCCTGGCAGGAGCTGAAGAGGATCCTTATCCCAGCCTGGACCAAGGCCGAGAGCACTCCATCGTAGTACTGAGTCCTCTGGAAAAACCGGGATGTTTCTCCTGAGGAGTGGAAGAGCAGCAAAGCAAGAGCCTGTTACTGTCTAGTGCAGTCATTTCATTGCAGAGTTTGGATTTCTGGATTATCTGGGCATGGATAAAACTGTGCTTGTTCCTGACAGGGAATCCCAGAATGGTTTGGGTTGGGAGGGATCCTAAATCCCCCCCAGTGCCCCCTGCCATGGCAGGGACAGCTCCCACTGTCCAGCCCCAATGTCCAGCCTGGCCTTGGGCACTGCCAGGGATCCAGGGGCAGCCACAGCTGCTCTGGCAATTCCAGCCCAGCCAGCAATTCCCAATTCCCAATCTCCCATCCATCCCTGCCCTCTGGCACTGGGAGCCATTCCCTGGGTCCCATCAGGGCACTCTGGCAGCACCCACCTGGCCTGACCCTGTCTGTCTCCACAATCACACAGATCCTCTGGAAGATGCCCTGCAGGCACTGCAGCCTCCGGCTGAGTTTGTTCCTGTTCCCGGGGCTCTGCAGCTCCGACTGGAGCACCCTGTCCACGGCCAGGCGGTTGCTGACGATGTAATCGCTGGTGCCCAGGGAGCAGATCTGCACCCGCAGCCCGTGCACGGCCCGCAGGCACGACAGCACCTCCGGGCCCGAGCAGATCTCCCGGCTGTCTGCCAGGATGCACAGCGACAGCCTGGGATCCCCAGGAGCAGAAATCCCAGCCAGGGACAGCCTGGGATCCCCAGGAACAGAAATCCCAGCCAGGGACAGCCTGGGATCCCCAGGAACAGAAATCCCAGCCAGGGACAGCCTGGGATCCCCAGGAACAGAAATCCCAGCCAGGGAGGGGCTGGGATCCCCAGGAGCAGAAATCCCAGCCAGGGAGGGACTGGGATCCCCAGGAACATGGGAAATCCCAGCCAGGGAGGGGCTGGGATCCCCAGGAACACGGGAGATCCGAGCTGTGGCTGAGGAAGGCTTTGGGACAGCAGGACACGCCGAGCCTGAGCTGCTCCCGTGGATCTTCAAAGAGCTGCACACCTGTGAGCGCTGAAAATCACAGATCACGGGGTTTTACATCAAACCAACAAAAGGATGTTCTGCAGTATCAACACTTTCAGACTGGCACTTTAATCCCTCATCAGTCTCCCCGCTGAGCTGGGCTGATTATCCCAGAGTCTGGATGACAAAAGCAGCAGCTTTCACTAAAAACCTGGATCCTGGAAAGGACAGAGATCAGGAGCCCAACCTCAGGGAGGTGCTGAAAGCCCTGAATTCAGACAGTGAACCAGGATTTGCTAACTACAAACCCAAAGGATCAGTGGATGCTGCTGTTCCACACAGACCCACGATCCTCCATGACTGTCAGACCCAAGGAAAATCTAATCCCAGTTTTTATTTGTTCACACCCCTAAAATACTCCAGGTTACCCTGGGAGTACAAAGCTTCGAGCAGCAAAGGAAAGGGAGATGGTCCCTGGAGCAAGCTGGTCTATGGAAGGTGTCTGCCCATGGCAGGGGTGCAGAGGGATGGGCTTTAAGGTCCCTTCCAACCCAAACCATTCCATAATTCCAGGACTCCCTGACTCCTGCTGCTCACAGCCCTCAGAAGAGCCCTGGCACGGGAATTCTTTCCCACAAGGAAGCTCCCTGCTTTCCCTGCACACTGACCTCACCAGCAGCCTGCAGATCCGTGTTCCTGCAGCCAGAGCCAGCTGGGGGGATGGATCTGCTCCTGCCTGGAGGCTCTGGGGGAAGATCCAGCATCCCAGACACTTCCAAGCCCAGCAGCCTCTCCGTGTCCTGTCCCCCAGGCCGAGGAGCTGCCCCAGCCCCGCTCCTGAGCTGGGCAGAGGGGGCTGAGGGCAGGGCCTGGGGGAGCTGCCCCTTGCCCTGCCCTGCCCCCAGGGGCTTCTCCCTGCTGCCTCCCGTCTCCTCCTCGCTGGAGTCGCTCAGGACAATAATTCGGGACGGTTTCTTCCTCTGCAGCGGGGCAGGAGCGCTCCCTGCCAGCCCCGCCCGCTTCAGCCTCTTCCTGCGCCGGGTCAGGTACCGGCTCCTGCTGCAAGCCTCGAGCACATCAAAACTCACAGCCACTTCTTCTTCTTCTTCCTCCTCCTCCTCCTCCTCCTCCTTCTCCTCCTCCNAGCCCCAATTCCCCAATCCCAGCCCCAATTCCCCAATCCCAGCCCCAATTCCCGCTGTCCCACCTTGGCTGTGTGCCCGCCGAGGCGCCGCTGCCGTTTGGCTGCTCCTGGCCGGCTCCTGGAGCTGTTCCTGCCCCGCTGGAAATCCCCACTGTCCTCGCTGGACGTGTCTGACTGCAACAGGGAACACGGGATGAGGGGAGACAGCTCCAGGGATCCACTGGATCCCACATTGCCGGGGCTGGGAAGGGACCTTAACGCTCCTCAGAGCCGCTAACAGGGCAGAGAAATGGGATTTGGAAGAAAAATCGGGTCAAATGTGGCATGAATTGGCTTTTTTTGGCTCAGAGCTTTGTGGCAGGGAGGTGATTTCACCCTTCCTGGCTGTTGAGATGTTTTGGTGCCAAACAACAGCTCCAAAATCATCCAAGCCCCGATCCTGGAATGTCCCAGGCCAGGCTGGACAGTGGGAGATGTCCTGGCTGGGATCTGAGGTCCCTCCAGCCCAAGGCAGGGCGGGATCCTGTGCTGTGTGCAGACCCTGGGGAGGAGCTGAAGGGAAGCAGGGATGAGTTCCCACTGCTCCTCTCCCGTTTCTCTGCTGACCACGTTCCGAGGGCGCCGGCGCTTCCTGGTGACCCCGGCTGGAGACTCCAGGTCGCTCCCATCCATCCCCTGTGGGAACAGGATGAACATCAGGCCACAGAGCCATTGTGTTCTGCTGTTCAAATTCCCATTTCGCTGCCCTTGGCTATTTTTTCCCTCTAAGACTCACATCAGGAGACTTCAAAACATTCTTTTTTATCCTTTTTTTCCTCTGGAAAACGATCTCTTCCTCGCTGTCACTGCTGGGTCCTGCAGAAAACAGAATAAACAACATTCACCAGAATTGCACAGTTTCCAACACAATTTTGTTATAGCTGAGCAATCAAACCCTGCCTCTCTCAGAAAAGCACCTCCAAAGGAGATTATTTATTGATCTACAGGACAAATATTGTTCTCTTCAGCCTTGTTAATCAAAAGAGAGGATGTCCAGCTGGGATGGACAATAAATCCTGCTTCCCTGGAGAGCCCCGGGGGGAAGCGATTACCCCAGGCAGCGGAGAGGCAGAAAAGGGAAGCAGGAGAGCAAGAGAAACCCTTCAAAGCTGAGCAAGAGGCAGAGCTGGGGCAGCACTTTGTGACACAAATGTCTGTGACAGCACTGAGTGGGGCCTGCAGAGAGGCCACAGGGCTGGAGCCAGGCTGGGAGAGCTGTGAGTGCTCACCTGGAGAGGAGAAGGATCCAGGGAGAGCTCAGAGCCCCTGGCAGGGCCTGAAGGGGCTCCAGGAGATCTGGAGAGGGACTGGGGACAAGGGATGGAGGGACAGGAGCCAGGGAATGGCTCCCAGTGCCAGAGGGCAGGGATGGATGGGAGATTGGGAATTGGGAATTGCTGGCTGGGCTGGAATTGCCAGAGCAGCTGTGGCTGCCCCTGGATCCCTGGCAGTGCCCAAGGCCAGGCTGGACACTGGGGCTGGACATTGGGACAGTGGGAGGTGTCCCTGCCATGGATGGGTAGGATGGGTGGGGTTTGAGGTCTCTTCCCACCCAATCCATCCCAGGATTCCAAACCAAGAGGATGAAGCCTTGCAGGCACCATTCCAAGCTGGACAGCTCCTGGATTCTGCTGTCCCCTCACTGACCCAACAGCCATTATTCCTCTTCTTCCAACCTTCCCAGCTCAGTCAGAAATCCAAAGTGAGGATCCAAAAACACTGGATCCTATTTCCTAACCACAAAGGTCTAACAGCTGTCCCACCAAATTCCCTACCTGCAGCAGGAGACCCACAGGATCCACGGAGTTTGGTGTCTTCCAGGCCTTCTATCCTCCCTGAAGGGGAACCCATGGCTGATCTCCCAAAGTTCTGCCTCCGTGGGCTTTCTCTGACTTGCCCTACAGGAGACACCTCTGCAATTTGCTCCCTGCCATTCCAGAAGACTTTCATAGGAATTCTTCTGACAGCTTTGATGTTCACACCTTTCCTCCTTGTTGGGGTCAGAAATGGTGAAGCTTCAGGGGGTTCCCTTCCCGTTCTGCTGCCTCCTGAGCTGAGGCCAGGCCCTGCAGCAGGAGCAGCCTCGGTGCCTTCCCCGTCACCGCTGGCCCTGCCCTGCAACGCCGGCGCTGTGGACAGGTCCCTCCTCTCCAGCCCTCTGCAGCCCCAGCCTGCCCAGGCTCCCAGCCTGGAGCCATCACTCGGGGAGGTTTTTACATCCTTGCTGGATCCAGCCCCGTTCAGTCTGGGGGTGTCAGCACCCCTGGCCTCCTCCCAGGTGTCATCCCCGCTGTCCTCGATGGAGAAGCCCAGGTCGAAGGTGATGGAGAACAGGTCCTGGGAGCAGTCGTAGGGATCACCCACTGCTGATGTTCCCATGGATTCCCTGCTCCAGGGCTGCTCCCTGCAGGGCTGGCTGGGGTTCCCAGGGGGGAATTCCCTGCCTGGCTCTCCCTCAGTCCCAGGGATGGTCCCAGCTGGACCTGCCCTGGCTGGAGGCTCCGAGCCCGCGGGGCTGCCCTCGGCCGTGTCCTCACCAGCCTCATCCTCGAACAAATGGAGACTCTGCTCCCCAGCAGCAGCTCCAAGGGCAGCCTCTCCCGTGTCCTCGGGTTTGGGAGGGCCGTTTGGCAGGGGGTGGTTCCTGCTGGGAGCGTTGTTTGGGATCTCAGGGAACTCCTCGCTGTCGAACAGGCCATCCAAGCTGTCATTCCACAGCTGCTCCTCCTCCTCCTCAGCAGCAGCAGCCTTGCTAGGTGACACAGTCTGGCCCAAACAGGGACTTCTGGAGGCACAGAATTCCCTGGGAGCTGTCACTTTGGGATTTTCCAGGAGCAGCAGTGAAGGATCAGTTTTTGGGGAGACGCTGTCCCGCAGTGCCTCTGAGCGACCATGGGGGAGAACCTGTGGGGCAGGAGATGTGCTTCCTTCACCCCTCATCACGCTCTCCAAAGCCTCCAGCTCATCCCCAGAGGGAGGGGACTGGGACAAAAGCCTTTGCACCTGGGAGAATGCTTGTTCCAGCCCCGGGGGCTCCTTCAGCTGCGGGAAGGGATCCCTGCAGGATTCGGGGAGATAAAACAGGTCGGAGGCCACGGGGGAGGTGCCGTACCCCGAATCCCTGCGGATGCTCCCGCTGGCTTTACCTGCAGGGCTGTTCTCCCGTGCTGCTGGACTGGCAGGGGTCTCAGGGCTGTCACTGTTGTCACACAGGTCAATAAATGCATTTAAGTCAAATGTCACCTCCAGCCCCTCGTCCCTGTCACTGCCCAGGTCCGAGTGTCCGGCCACAGCAAGCCTTGTTCCCGAGGGAGAGGCCGAAGGATCCTCAGGCAATGCAGGAACCTCCCCGTGGAGTCCAGGAGCTCTCTTGGGAGCCCTGGGTTTGGTTATTTTAAAGGTGGTCAAGAACTCACTCCCATCATCACCTGTATCAGGTGGGAACGGCTTTGGCTTTGGCTTTGGTTTTGGTCCCGGAGCAGCGAGCTCTCTGATCCCAGGGCGGGTTGGCCATGGAGAAATGCCTTTTGTTCCCTGGAATATCCACATCTTCCATCCGCAGGTGAGGCTGGAGCTCCTGCCCATAGCTGCAGTCTCCCTGGGGACACAGGGCAGTGGTTACCAGACACACCCCAGGGCTGCCCCCAGACACTCAAAACAAGGGACAAAGGTTTTGTCCTCCTGAAGAACTTCCCACAGACTCTGCATTAATTTTTCATGGATGTCTATAAATCTGCTGCTCAAAAGGCAACCAGCTCTGTTAAACACCCTCTTGGGAAAAGCACAGTGGACCTGGACGTGCAGGATGGGAACAGAACAATTATTTTTTGGCAGATGAATCCCTGGACTCGTTAATCCCTGAAATTACACGAGGTACCTTTGTAGAGGGTGGGAATAATAATAAAATAAATATAAATATATATAAATAAAATAAAAATGACCTTTACAATGAGACTGGCTCATCTGGAGGTATTTCAGGAAGCAGGATCCAAAGCCACCTCCCAGGAATTTGATCCCTAACAGGGTTGAGGATCCTCTCTGGTTGCAGCAGGCAAAGCAAACTGTGCACTTTTAACAGATTTTGTCATTAATCATCATCATCATCATCATCATTTCAACACCAATTTCACACAGATGATGATGCTCACACCACCCTTTAGTAGAGATACACAAAGAAACTCCAAGTCTGGATTTTTTAACTAAAGATCTCCAAGAAGATCCCCAGACTACACCAGCTGCCTTAGGAGAAGGTTTAACAGAAACCAGTGAGGAAAAGAGGATTAAAGGATGGTTTTGATCTGGCAGGTTGTAAATAATTCCTTTTCCTCCAGCCTGGTCAGAGCACAGACTCAAGACATGGAATTCTTTGTCTGGAATCCAAGAGGAACAACAAAGCTGGGTCCAATTCAGGTGTCCCCTGAGCAGAGGGAGCACTGGGGTGACAATAACGGGGCTGGTCTGGATCTCTTGGGGCTCACAGGAACAACTGCCCCTTGCACAATGGCTCAATTCCAGCATCACACAAACAAGACAGAAATTAAATGGATTAAGGATTAATTAACCAAACCAGTGTCTGTGAGTGAAATGGGAGGAGGTGCTGCCCTGCCCACCCCACACAGCTCTGATCACTGATCAGGAGTGGCCCAATATTGTCCTGCAACCCAAAATTAACCAAAGTACAACCCTCAACACCTACAAACCAAATCAAACTACAACCCCCAAACCCAAAACTAGCCAAGCTTCAAACCCCACAAACTCAAAACCAATCAAATTACAATGCCCAAAGCTCACAAACCCCAAACCCATCAAACTACAAACCCCAAACTCATCAAATGACAACTTTCAAAACTCACAAACCCAAAACTCAAACTCCAGCCCCCAAACCCTCCAAACTCCAACTCCCAAACCAATCAAAATCCAACTCCCAAACCCTCCAAACCCAAACTAAATCAAAATACAACCCCCAAAAGCTACAAACCCAGAGCCAAACTCCAACCCCAAAACCTACAAACCCTAAACAAAACTACAACCCCAAACCCCTCCAAACCCAAGCCAAATCAGACTAAAACTCCCAAAATCTACAAACCCAAATCAAAATCCAACCTCCAGATCTTCCACACCCAAAACTCAAACTAAACCCCCAAGCCAATCAAAATCCAATCCTCAAAACCTACAAATCCAAACCCACTCCAACACAACCCCTAAAACCAACAAACCCCAAACTAATCAAGGTTCCCAGAGCAGCTGTGGCTGTCCCTGGATCCCAGGCTGGACACTGGGATGGTGGGAGGGGTGGGAATGGGATGGGATTTAAGTCTGGGATTGTGGGATTCTAGCACAGGCAGCGGGATCAGCAAGGAATTTTCCCAGGAATGTCCCCAGGTCCCTCCACACCCCCCTGGCTGCTCGGAGCCTGGCGGTGCTGCTGGGGCCAGGAACAGCCCAGCTGCCAAATTTAGCATCTAGGCCAGAGCTGGGTGGCCTGGCTGGGGTTATGTAAGTGCCCCATTTCCTGGGAATACTCCCTGGAATTCTCCTGACAGAGCTCCCTCCTCTCCAGCCAGGGCACTTTGGGAATCGGCACCTTCTGGCCTGAAATGCACAACTTGTGGAACCTTAAATTCCCTGCTCAGCTGCCCCTCTAACCCAGAGAGCTCAGGGTGTACCAGCTCCTCAGGAAATAGGTCAGGAGCAGGAAAACAGCATCCGAGATTATTGTCAGTCAATGCCCCTGCCTGGAGCCACTGATTCGCTTTAGAAAACAAAATCTATTTTAGCATAGGAAATAGAAACAGAAAAGGAATTTTTTACTTTTTATATTGATTTTTTTTTTTTTAATTTTTAATATGTAAATATATCTGTAATTGCACCCATTCTGTTTTCCAGGATTTAAATTTAAGGCATCAAGTACCAAAACTGGAATTGCCCCTTCTCTCCTCAGAAGCTGCTTTGGATGCACAAGATTTATCTGCCTGATGAAACCCTGGTGATGCTGCTGTTTGAAAATGGATGATCACTCTGTAGACAGCTACAAAGTGGATTTTTAACAATTAAAACTCCTTTAAGTGGAAGCCTGAGTGAAACCCTGCAGAATTCCCCCCTTTGGTGTGTTCTCAACCCCTCCCATTCCCCCCTCTCCTCCAGGGCCTTGGAACAGCTTTCAGCAACTTTCCAAACCTTTCTGTGGTTCCAGGAATCTTTTCTGATTATCTTTTCCATCTTTTACCAAAATTGCTGCTTGGTACAGCACCAGTGCCCCGTGTCCAGAGCACCCCCAGTTCTCCCTGAGCTCATTTACTCATTTCCCTTTCCAGGAACTGAGGAATGAGCAGAAGAATCAATCCCTGTTCCACCACTGCTCCGTTTTCAGAACACACTTCAGGGGAAAAAACACTGTCAAAAACTCGGTTTTGGAGGTTTAAGTGTATTACATGAGATGATCTTTAAAAATTTATTTAGTTGAGTCACAGAAGAAGCCTGAGGGACACAGAAACCCCAATTTCCTTCTACCAAACCGAGATAATTCTCTCCCTCATGGCATCACAGAATTGATGGATCTGCTCATTCTGCTGGGTTTTGCTTTCAGCTACCCCCAAAAAAACCAGCCAAGATCCCTAAAAAATGATTACAAAATCCAGGATATGTGCCCTGGCAAACATGGGAACAGGATCAACAAAGAGGCAGAGGAGGTGAATGTTCAAGTACACCAGGGAATAAATGAGGGTGCCCAGATTTGCTGTGGCTGTCCCTGGATCCCTGGCAGTGTCCCAGGCCACGCTGGGCAGGGCTGGAGCAGCCAGGGACAGTGGGAGGTGTCCCTGCCAGGGCTGGGGTGGGATTTGAGGTCTCCTCCCAACCCAAACCACTCCAGGATTCCAGAAGAACGACCCCATTTACTGAGAACATGTCCTGTCCCTGCTCTCTGTGCTCAGCACGTGGAGCTGGAAGCTCAGGCCATGCATCCATGGAATGGTTGGGGTTGGAAGGACCTGCAGGACCATCCAGTCCCACTCCCAAATCCCTCACTGGGAGCACAGCCCCAGCAGCAGGAAAAGCACCAGGCACCTGCAATTCCAGGTCTAAACAACCCACCCTGACCTCAGTTAATGCTTGGACTCCAAAGATTTGGCAACAAGATCAGAAGAAGCGATTCAAAGGAGCTGCTTTAATTGGAGAGCTGAGATTTTGGGGCTCCCTGACACCTCACCCTCCAAAACCAGCCCAAAGCCTTCCACCTTCTCTGGAATCAGAAGTTTTGACACATCTCAGAAGAGGATTTTAATCAGAGAGAATTTACTGGCAATGAGGGTCTAAAAACCCCAAATAAAACCATTTCATTGTCCTTACTTGAACCATTTTTAACTTCTCATTCAGGCTCTCCTGAGAAAAAAGATGCAGCTGAAAATTGGTGAAAAATCAAATTTTCCCCCAAAACACATCTGATTTAAAACTCTAAAAGCTTGGGAAGCCTTCTCAGGTCCACTGGGATTCTGGAATGTCCTGGGAATGTTTCACCTGGAGGATCCTGAGGCAGCTGATTTCAGAGCCAGAGGTTCCAGGCTCATCCCAGGCCTGGGACATGTGACAATCCCAAAGATTTTGGGATTTATTTTGTTCTGCTTGTGAAAAGCTGGGACTTCCCACTGCCAGCTTGGAAATGGGAAAGATCCAGATGAGCCTCCCATTCTGGACACTAAAACGAAGCATTCCTCTAAATTTAAATGTTTTAAACACAAACAAAGCCCTGGCACTTCCCTGTTCCCAGAGAAACCTGGGCAAATATCATCCCACTAAAGGGATTACTCTGCCCGGCCTTATTTCCAAACAGCACAGTTTAATTTGCAAAAAATGCTTAAAAGAGATGGAATTATTTTGCAGAAGGACAACTTGAAATGTTCCCATGTTGCACCAAAAATCCCCCTGGCAGTAAATGCGTTGCTGTAGCAATAAAACCCCCGGGGCATTAAAGGCTTTGCTGGATGTGCCTTTTCCAGGGGTCACATTTGGGGCTTCTTTGACTTTTTTTTTATTTTCTTTTCACCAGGCCAACCTCTTCTCAAAGGTTTTTAAGATATAAATACAATAGAATTTGTTTTGCCACCCATTTTCACTTTATCTGTTATAAATAATCAAAAAAAGCTTTTAAATTGACTTTTTTTAAGCTGTTATGGAAACACAAATTTCTTGAGTCACTGAATGAGTACAAGGAAAGGAAAGCCACACACATCAGTGAATTTCTTCTTTAACAGAAAACACCCAAAAAACCCTGCAAATGCCTCTTGTGCTGGCTTGTATGAAGCCATGAAAAATCTCTGAATGAAATTCTGCCCAAGAAATAACTGAGCAGAAATTTCCAGATCATTTGGTTATTCACGGTAAAATCGTGATTTCCCTGATTTTATGTTTTATTCCCCAGTAAGAAAATCATCAATAAATCTGAGGTTTGAGGTTCCCTCTCTTGAGTATTTAAGGAAAGAGCTTTGACCTGTATTGGTGTTAAACCCCTCTGTTAATTAAGCACCGTAAATGAACGTCAGGAGATCAGCTGGGTGTAATTAGCCATGGAATATTTATAGCAGGAGCCTGGATGCACAGCACATCCATGCAAACCCTTCCAGCAGAGAATCCTGGAATGCTTGGAAAGGACCTGAAATCCCATCCTGCCATGGCAGGGACAGCTCCCAGTGTCCGGCCTGGCCTTGGGCACTGCCAGGGATTCCCAATTTCCCATCCCAAACCATTCCCTGGCTCCTGTCCCTCCATCCCTTGTCCCCAGCCCCTCTCCAGCTCTCCTGGAGCCCCTTCAGGCCCTGCAAGGGGCTCTGAGCTCTCCCTGGACCCTTCTCCTCTCCAGGGGAACATTTTGGATTCCAGTGGGAGCATTCCCTGCCGTGGGAACACGGTCAGGGGCTCTCAGGGAAGGCAGGGATGGTTTCAGGGGATGTTGATGAAAGTCAGGCAGGAGCTCAGGGCAGAGCTGATGAGCTCAGTGCTGCATCTCCCCCTCCTGTGGAACACTCCTGGTGCAGTCTGGTGTCCCTGACTGCACTGCTCGGTGTGAGAGGGACCCCAGAGGATCTGAGGTGTCGAATCCTGGCTCCTGCCAGGGCTTTGCTTTTCCCTAGGAGGGTCCAAAGGGTGAGTGCTGGGCTTTGTGTCACCCCTCGTGCTCCTGGGGACACCCTGGCAGGACTGTGAGGGAGCTGCAGCTCTGCACCTCTGCCTGGGCCACAGCTGGAGAAGGCTGGAGGCCAGCACAGCTGGATCTCAGCCAGCAGGGCACCTGGGGGGGCTCAGCCTGGAGAAAAGGAGGCTCAGGGGGCACCTTCTAATTCTTGAACCATTTCTGTCCTCCTGCCATCCTTCCTGCCCCATCCCTCTCCCTCTGCAGCTGGGGCCAGGGACCCTCAGAGGAGCCAGGGCTGTCTGTGGTGGGGTGGAGAAGCTTTTCTGAGCTGGGCAGGTCTGCTCACAGCCTCGGGAGCACAACTACAATGTCTCCATTCTCCTCCTCCCTTAGTCCTGCTGTTAGCCAGGAAACTCTGGCAGCTTAGCAACAGCTTCTGATGACCTAAAAAACCTCCATGTGCTGCAAGGCAACATTTGGGGAGCTCAGCTGGAGGGAGAAATAATGTGGTGAACCACTGAAGCCTCCATCCACCCCTTCAGACACTTCCCTGTGCCTTCCAGAAGGATTTCTGTACCCATCCCTGCCAGAAAACAAAATTCCCATCTCCCAGACCGTTCCCATCCACGTTTGTTTGGCTTAGCTCCTCTTAGCCCTTAATTCTCAGGAATAATTCGCTTTTTAGTTCAGAAAAACAAACCCAAAGAGCCTGAAAGCACAAATCCCCTCAAACACGCCCTGTGTGCTCCTGCAGGACTGTTCTGGGATGCTTTGATGGACACACGACACCAAACTCTTCCCAATTCCTGGAACAGCTCTGGTTTCCCTCCTGTTGCCTTTGCTCCTTGTATTTAATGTCATTCTGTCATAAATTGATACTGGAATCCATTAAAAAAAGGCTGATTTAAGGGTGGGGTTGTTTTTCCAATCTAGGGAAACACATTTTTTAAACAGTTTTAAACAATTTTTCTGTGGAAAAGATTAGGAATCACAGCATAGCAGTGGGGGACATTCTGAAACAAGATTAAATACACATAATACATTATCGGTTATTTTCTTAAAAATAAAATTATTATTGAAAATAATTATTGGTTTGGGTTTGTTTTTTTTTTTTTAATTTCATTATTTTTAAACTGTTCTAGCTGTGTATCCAGTCCCTGGAGAGGATTTTTTTACCTGCTGGTGCCTCATCAGCTCCATCATTTCCATGGCATGGATGAAGAGGTGACAACGATCCGAGTGATCCACCAGGGATGTGGGCAGAGGCTGATTCTGCCAAATTCTCCACTCTGACAAGGAGAGCTCCAGAGTTGCCCCCTCCTTGGGCTTCTGCAGGGGGAACTGGGATGGGAAAGGAGATTTTCAGCAAGGAATTGTTTAAATGTTATCAGACAGGTTTCAGTCTGGTCCCAAATAAAAGCATCAGGAGCAAGCCGGGCTAGGGGAAGGTGCCCAGGTGTCCCTGCCCAGGGCAGGGGGTGGAATGAGATGGGTTCAAGATCCCTTTAAACCCAAACCACCCTGGGATTCTGTGGATACAGCATCCTGCATGGAATTGTTAAAATCAGGAGCAGAACTTAATGGATACTGAGACTTCCTAATACATTTTTAACTCATTGACCCAATTCTTAATCTACAGACCTTTTTACTTACAGGCCCAACCTCAAAGAGCCATTTCAAACATCCCATTACAAAATTCTTAACCTCAGGAACCCCCATGTCAACCTCAAAAAGGCATTTTCTAACAGGCTTCCTCCAAACCCAGCGTTAGCTCTGGCATTCCCAGCAGCTGGTGTCAAAGGAAAGGTTGCATGGAACTCACTGGTGTTTCTTGCAGGTTTTCTAAGGTTTCAAAGTGAACTGGAGGCAATACTGGTTCCTTTATCCCATCACTTTCCTTAATCCTGTAGAGTCTGTCCCATATCTCAAACTCCTCAGGAGACAGGGCCCAGCTCTCATGGGAGCTCATTTGCTTTTGGCCTGTGGGAAAATAATCAAAGGGAAATGTTACCTGCTGTAGCAATAAAAGAACTTGGTGTGGGACCAAAGAAAACATCTTCCCTCAGCCACAACCAAAACCAGATGCAGAGAATGTGAAGCCAGGGACGGGCATCCAAAGAGTGTTAATGTTTTATATGGATAAATATCATTAAGCTGCTGGTTTGGGGGAGGACATCATTTAAAATAGAGACAGATATAAATCCCCATCCCACTGCCAAGTCCCTTAAACAACCCTGGAAGTGATTCCAAAGAATCAGAGCTGAGAATGTGATTTGTTTTCAGGCCAGAGGTGTGAAGCTGGGAGAAAAATGAGCAAGGTAACTGGCCAGTGTCTGTACAGACAGGATTTGGGGAGGATGTGCAGCCCTGGCTCTGGTGGGAATTAATTCAACACAAGAGGAATCAGAATCAGCCTGGATCTCTCAATCCTCTCAAGCTGCAGCTGCCAGGGGCAAACCCTGAGCCCAGAGCCCTGCTGACGTCCTGGGCAGGAAAACCTGCAGAAAGGAACCAGCAGTGATGGTTTTAATCACTAAACAATCCCAGACCAACACTGCAATGAAGAATTTCTGATTCAAGGGTAGGAGATGTCACATTCCTGAGGAGAGAACAGCCAGGGCAAGGACCTGGCAGAGGAGGGAAAAAGAGACCTGAAGGAAAAGGAAATGAAGAACAATTCTTAGAGAACTTAGAGAACTTAGAGAAGCATTTGGAACCAGGGAATTGTTGAGTGGGAAGGGACCCACAGGATCACAGAATCCCAGAATATCCTGAGCTGGAGGGACACACAGGATCACAGGATCAGGAATATCCTGAGTGGGAAGGGCACACAGGATCACAGGATCAGGAATATCCTGAGCTGGGACACACAGGATCACAGGATCAGGAATATCCTGAGCTGGGACTCACAGGATCACAGGATCAGGAATATCCTGAGCTGGGACACACAGGATCACAGGATCAGGAATATCCTGAGCTGGAGGGACACACAGGATCACAGGATCAGGAATATCCTGAGCTGGGACACACAGGATCACAGGATCAGGACTATCCTGAGCTGGGACACACAGGATCACAGAATCAGGAATATCCTGAGTGGGACACACAGGATCACAGGATCAGGAATATCCTGAGCTGGGACACACAGGATCACAGGATCAGGAATATCCTGAGTGGGAAGGGCACACAGGGATCACAGGATCAGGAATATCCTGAGCTGGAGGGACTCACAGGATCACAGAATCAGGAATATCCTGAGCTGGGACACACAGGGATCATCCCAACCCTGTCCCAGCCCAGACCCCCCAGCAATCCCAGCCTGTGCATCCCTGGCAGCGCTGCC